ATAAAAATTTTAAAAATATGGAATTGGTAAACTTTTTTTAATGTGTGTCCCCTAAAAATTAAAATAACACCAGAAGTATGTAATATGGGGTCTTGCTACTTGCCTATATCACAATAAGCACAGGAGAGATATTTGTATACATTATTTCTTCTAAATCTCGAAATCATTCACGAGCTAAGTCCGATTACTATATAAAAAAAAAAATGGCATCAATCGAAAGAATTCTAAAGGGCATTTTATGGAAAAACTGGAGGAACCCGTATCATAGTTAATTTGATTCCAAACGCAATTTGTTCTGCATCAGTTGTAAGCAAATCCGGGACAATGGACATCTGCTTCATCGAACTTCCAATGGGAACATCCAGTTGTCTTTGTATCTTAGTTTTCCTCTACCATAATGTTATATCTGAGGAATGCTCGGTCAAGACATAAAGAGAATTACCGATTTTGAAGGGCCTCGACTGCCCTTTTCCACTGTTGTGCTCTTTGTTTTGTATCCTCAAACGACATAACCTTCTTCGGCTGGACACACCACAGAAAATCATTCTAAATTAGTTTAGTTGGAATAGATTAATGATGTCTAGCTGTGGACAACAAATCTTTTTCCAAGAATTGTACACTGAAATATTGAAGTTATCTCAACTACAAGCCAAGTTGCCCAGTTAAAAACATATGGAATTATGGATTACCCTAAAAAAATCATCAAATTTTCGGATTCCTTCATTATCTCTCTCCGGTAGTTTAGGACTTTATCCTCTCTCACTGTCACAATTACTGTCACTCTCAGATATCAGCATGGCTCCTCTCTCCTCCCCTATTCCGGTATATAAAGAATATTGACTACTAGCAATGCTCTATCTTTCTCACTATGTGTGTTTGTTTACACACCAAAGTCCAAATGATGTAGAACGGATGGCTGAATGGATTGAATAACAGTTGGATCGAAAAGAAAAAAAAAATGGTAAAATGCAGATTTGAGGTTCGAGCTCTAATTTGGGCTCATAATACCTTTTCGGAAAGAAAAATCGGACTGAACTCACGGCTTTGCTGTGACATATGATGAATTTTAGCCATTTGAATTCGTTTAAAACTCAAAAACTGCTTTTAAAGTTTTAGTGTTATTTGTGTTATTTAGCGCCCATTTAGTCCCCATTATTTCTCATTAAATTATAATTCTCTTTTCTTATCAACCACACATTCTCTAATAAAATAATATTACACATAAACTCAAAAAATTTTCTTTCTTTTTTAACCACACATTTTCCAATAAATTGCTTTTCCTCTCATTATAACGTGGAACAATGGGGGCAAAACGGGGTTTTAGTTTATTTCGAATTCTTTTCGATTTTTCTTTTAAACTAGGTTTTCATGTAAATCTTTGTAAATAAAGGGTTAATTCTTCGTTTTTGGAGGATCTTGAATTAATAAAATTTCGTGAGTTTAATTTTCTTTCTATGGTGGATTCCAATTTCGGTGATGTTAAAGTTTTCGCTTGAATTCCTTGTTTTGCGTTGCGTCACCAAACCGGTCAGACCAGTTGATTTCCAAATCAGTCAGCCTACCAGTTCCGTGTCGAATGACTCCAATCAAGTGTTTTAATGACATCAATAAATTACTATATTGACTGTGCAGTAAATAATATATTGATAAGGAGCATAAACTTACAGTGCAAATCTTGAAATGTGAAGGGCTAGTAACTTGAATGCTGAGATCATTAGGATTGTCGGACCATATTACGTTCCCTTTGAACATCAATTTTGCAGGGTCGACATATATCAACTTAGGTTTATTGGTGAGGATAAGTTGTACTTTCTTGTTTGTTAGTTTCTGCAGCTTCTTCACATTAGAGATCATAAGAACGGATTCCCCAGGCTCCAAAAACTGTTGCCTGTTTAATGGCCAGAAGAAAAAATAGTAACAAAGAAAAACCAGTTGGAGCCGTCCGACATTTTAAATTCTAAAAAGTGAAAAAAAAAAAAAAAGATGATATCAGAAAAATATCATTTCTTAACATCATCATCTTCAGGGTACTTGACGAGCTTGGCAAAGTACACTGAATTGATCTGCTAGTTTGACCAATGGCTATTTAACGAGAATAAATTGTCTTTTAAGCTGTAAATAAGGCCTTTAAATGAAAATTTTAAACACTGCTATTTTTGCACTTTAACAATTGTGAGATGGCTATTTTGAGAAATTCCTCAGTAGAGGCAATATTAAATCATGAATTCACATGAGTTATTTATGAAGGGTTTTTATCAAAATGGACAAATCCCATTGAGTTTTGGTTCCTCTTTCTGGTACACTAGAGCTCATAACTGTCATAATAAGCAAAGACGAGGACAAAAAAAAAAGTCGTGTCTGTATGAGATCACTCTGCTTGTCAAGTAGTAAAGGTAATTGCATATGAAAGACTCTCAATGAAATAAGTTGATTCCTACAAGAAAATTCCTGGAACTTACCATTTCGAATCAAATGAATCAATCGAAGCAAGCCTAGTTACACTGCCAGCTTCAGCCGTGGACGTTGCACTTATTTTTGCTGAACCATCCCCAACATCTTGGTCCTCAGCTCCACTAGATGGACCCTAAAAGAATTGATAAGAAGAGTTGAAAAGTTGCAAGTACGTTTTATAAAATCTGCCACAGAAATATTACGGGCTTTTTCCTTTCCTTTTTTCCCATTTAGTTAGAGATTTTCACTGGGGATCGAAAAAATGCAACACCTTCTGAAAAAATGTGAACGGACTGCCCATCTATGAAAACTCACTCCCTTTTATGTGTGCTAGAGCATTTAAAAGAAAAAAAAAAGGCTTACTCTTGACTCTATAGCAAGGCTAGGCGGGTTTCGATTCCTCAAATTCCTCCAGTCAATCCCCTTAAAGAAAGGATGGCTTTTGAGTGAAGCATAGCCATTCGGTCCTGCACCTGGTCGCCTGCTGGGATCTATATCCTACACCAAAATTCCATGATAGTCACAATCAGACGATCAATAGTTTCTGTAGTCAACTAACGATAAACCAATCAGAGTATAAATAGCAAACAGACAATGTTAAACAAATAGGATTATTCAAATCTAAAAAAGTGATGCAGAAGAGAGGAATAAAAGAATTTAAAACAAGAAATGATCTTATGGCTTACCAATAATCGGTCAATGAGATCTCGTGCTTCTGCTGAAATATGATTTGGAAATCTGATATCTCTAGCAATTATCCTTTGGAAAATAAGCCATTCACTAGCATCTTTAAAAGGAGAAGTCCCTGAAAGCATTTGGTACAATGTGCATCCAAGTGCCCAAAGGTCATTCCTGATCGAACATATTTCAGAAGAATAAATAGTCTTATAGAAAAAAAACAGATAATTATGAAGAACAAAAGGCACTAATAGCTCAACTAGGAAACAACTTCAGCACCTATTATAATTCAGAATATTCATTTAGATACAGTTGAGCATATTGAACTTTATTGCAAACAAATATAAATTAGAAAACGACAAAAATTAAAAATCCAGTACCCAAAAGTTGCAGGAGAAGAATTCAGAACTTCTGGAGGTACATAGGCGGCAGTTCCCACAAATGTACATGCCTTGTCATCTGAAGATAAGAAATTAACAACTGTTTAATATTTCCTCATTGATAGTACGATGACTGTTAATAGCTGAAAGCATCAATATGATATGGAAGACTCACCTGATGCTGCATTTGGAAGGACCGTTATCTGGCTATCTTGCATTGGCTTTACACTACCAAAATCAGCAATTTTGATATGTCCATCAGCAGTAAGCAGCAGGTTCTCCGGCTGGCATTCAAGGAGCTGTTAGCATTTACATTGTGGCTGTAGATTTGCTTTTTTTTTTTAAATATTAAAAAATACCTTAATATCTCGATGTATCAATCCCATACTATGTATATATTCAAGAGCATCTACAACTTCAGCTGCGTAAAAACAAGCTTCATCCTCTGGCAATCGACCTTTCTGCACGTATAAATTGACATTGTGCAGAAGTTGGACAAACAGGCAACGGATAATAGATACTAGGATGATGACATAAAACTTGCAAAAGAAATACTCGGCCAAGTACAGAAATAAGTTGGTGAATCCACATTATCAAATGAATAATGCAGAAAGCACAGGAGACCAACATGTTTGGAATCAAAATGCTATTTTGTTTTAGGCCGACTATTCCTCAAATTGAAGAAGTCACGAGAAAATGCAGAAAACTCAGAAAATTCGAGTTTCCTTCTATATTCCCTCCTATTTGCTCCCTTGATTTTAAAAAAAAAAAAAAGAGGAAATCCAACTTCAAATTTTCCACTTCATATTCTTCTCTCCCGATTTCTTCTCTTCTATTCATTTCTTATAAACTAAGATAACATTGGTAAATAAATAGTTAAGAATCCAAAGACACAACTTTCATGATGTGTTCATTCCCTAAAAAATTTAACAATATACTGCTACAGAAACAACTAAATGCTTCGAAATTGTCAAATTCTACTTACCCTGGTTATTTGATCAAAAAGTTCCCCACCTTCACAAGATTCAAGCGCCATGTCTTCAAGATACAATAAAATGCAGGAACATGTTATGCTTGTGCCCAAATAAATTCATCCAACTTAACAAAAGAACATCAGAGTAATATGACTAGAAGACTTACAGAGAGAGCAACTATCTTGAAATGTAAAAAACAATCTCACTACACCTGGATGATCTAACTGATCTAGTACAATACGTTCCAATTTTACATAAGCAGTTTTATTTTCCTTGGTGATGAACTTTTTATCCATGATCTTCATGGCATAGACATTTCCAGTGTTTTTCTTTTTTGCTCTGACAACCTGGTGAAATCGTAGATTAGAAGTTAGACGATAACAAGCTTTGAAAAAAATGAATAGTTACATATAAATTTGAACAGGATGATGGAAAATTATCAGGGGCTGGGCTGTAGACATTTACACACAGTGTTAGTAACAATCCCAACCAGTGGTTTGGCCATCTTTCAAATTTAACATAATTTATGGAATTTTATTCTCGATAGTCAATAGAGAACCCAAAAAAGTTGTGTGAAATAAATGAAAAATGAGATCACTTGAGTGCACAATGACTGGAATCAGTTCGACAAACTGTCTTGGCCAAAATTTGTAGCATTGTGGAAGCAAATATATTGTATACGTTAAATGACGAAGAAAAACCAACATGATGAAATCTTCTATTTTGCATTTTATGTCTCGTCTCTGGACAAAAAATTTACTATCTAGTTCTAGTAGCACATGAAATGCTTCTGAATGAAGTACAGATTCACAGCTTAAGTCCTTAAGGTATCGTCACACTGGAAATGCTCAATCTACTCTAGATCTATATGGGATTACCAAATTAGTGGAGATAAGGGCAAAATAGGATTTTTCAATAGAATACTCTTCCCGCTTTTCTAGATTGCACTGTTGATATTGTTCCAGCATCTCTCATCGTAATGTAAAATAGATCTAAATTGTGATTTAGATCTTTAAAGTGACCGAAAATCTCTTCAATTGACAGATGCAAAAGAAATGCAAATTGCATTTTCCGGCAGAAAATATAAAACACAAGAGGTAAAACGTCGATATAAATCTTCCCATTGAATTTAGATTCAACGGGATGTAAATCAAGATGCAAAAGTGATTTTGGAGATATCAATTTACACCCAATTTTACACAACCAATGGAGATGCTTACAATCCATTGCAGTTTCCTCTGAGCCATCAATCTGTATATTAGACCATTTCTCTCATTTTACATGGTACACTAAATAGGACTAGACAGTATGAGAAATAAGATTTTGGTTTCTTTTACCTTTCCAGTACTGTACAGGCTACTTTACCCAACTGGCATAGATGTTCACATCTAAAAGACTTTCAACTGGGGGAGAAGAGATGAAAAAGCGGTAAATGAAACAAAACTTCAATTTTTTGGATTCATAAATTCATAACCTATTCACCTAAGTAACCAACAATGAACAAAAATCATGAAAAACAACATGGCTCATCAAATAAATCTAAGCAGCACATTCAGATCATATTACAGACACACCGTGTATCAAAGGCAATCATAAAAATACAGCAAGGAAATGATTGAACCTTGGAATAAGAACCGACACCATAAATGTTGCCCAATTGAAAATCTTGGATGGTGAAATTTTCCTGGGGTGCTCTAAATGCAAAGCTCTTAGATCTCTGAGGAATCTGGTTATTATTTGATACTGAACTGTTATTTTCAATCCTCAGCTTTGATTCAAATTCATTCTCCATTTTATTAGCAGCTCCTCCTCCTTCACCCACCAATGCCAACATTATTTTCCCTCACCACCCCTACATGCATGTATGTACATTACCTGCATTGTATCTATACATTCTTTATATGCACAGTTTTCCCCTTTAAAGATAGGGGCTTTCAGATTTCCCTTCACGGGAAAATGAAAATCTTGGAACAAGAGTTGGGTTTTGATTTTTTCACAGCCTTCAATGAAAGGAGAAGTGAAGACCGTTGAATAACAGAAACAATTACAGAAGAAAAAAACCCATCACATATCAGATCAGATTCTCTTTATATATCTTCTATCTCTCCTTCTTTCTCTCATAACGCCACCACCCCATTTCATAGAAACCCGAAAAAAGTGAATGGTTTCTTACAAATGTTTATATTTGTATGTATATGTGCCTCTGTATGTATACCTTTTTTTCTGTGTGTATGAAAATACTTATGTTTTTTTATCTGAAAAGGTTCAATCTTTAGGATTTTTTCAAGGTCCTAAAAATTAAAATAAGAAAAACGATACAGGGGGGTGAATGGGAAGGTGTCATGTGTATATGGGGATTGAAGATCACATGGTAAAGAATGATGGGTTGGGTGGTATAATTTCTTTTGCATTTTCATTTTATTCGTATATGCTATCGATTATATAACTATTATGTTTGCAATTTTGTTCCATTTTTGTTTTCAATAATCTTTTTGTGATTAGAAATACATAAAGGGCCCCTAAAAAGGAGGGGTGAAGTGGGCGATGCTATCTATGGGGTTTGTGGGTGGGCCAGAGTGGCATCACAGAAATGCTGGCATTGGATTGGTATAATTGACTGTAGAAGTGAGGTGCTTTAGGGAAGGAAATTGGGGTTCCACATTTGAGTTTATTGTTTCAAAAAATAATTGAATTTTGGAATCTCATTGGAATTTAAATTATTACTGCAATATGATTTGAATTTTCAGAATATTCAACATTCTTCACTTCTTAGAATTACATGTTCTTTCGCATGCCCACGGAATTTACACGTGACACAAATTAATGTTCAATTCTTCGAACTAGTGATGGATTGAGAACATTGTGATAAAGTCAAAGTGTCAAACGATGTTCAATAATGTTTTAAAGTTTGGTGAGACGTAAAGTTCTATATTCTAATTTCTTTAATTTTTCTCTTTCTTTCTTTAGGAAAAAGTTGGGTGTCACGTAGGAATCAAGTAGAATCTCACACATTCCGAAGAATTCACCGGACAGTGGAAATCAAGATTAATGGGATGAATATAGTGTGGCTTTTTAGTACGACAACAAACTTTCATTATAAAAGACCACTCCAAATTGATGACACCCTTAAGTAATTAACTAAAGTCCCTAAGAGTTGTCTTTTCATAAATTTTTCGATTATTCCATCATTGGCATGTTTGATAAAAATTATTAGATAAGATTCGACACTACAATTAACAAGATTTTAATATTCTATATATTGTGCAGCAACCAAACAAGCTGGTAATTTTCAAAACCATAATTCAGAAAATATGGATCCGTGTCTTTGCAACAAATTGTAGTGAAATTCTAAAATATAAATTCAAACTACTGCCTTTATTGAAATTATCATTTTTATCACAAGATTGATATGTTACAAGTAATGGACCACGAAATTTTTTGTCATCATTCTTGTGAAAGCCTTTAAAGTACACAGCTTTACGATATTATGTTGATTTCATATGACTACCAACTTAGAACTATTTCAAAGTGTCCTATATATTTATAAGATTTTTTTTTTTTTTTTTTGTTGACATAGGAACCTGCAGTCGCTACCCTCAGTGAAGCCCTGACCACCTCGAAGGGGCAGAGGCCCGATCACTGTGAGTACGTACTAAGTAAACCCCGCTCCATGTGCAGTAGCCTGCAAACCACACAGGAAAGGTAAACCGCACTAAGCAAGCCAGGTGCGACGGGCTAGACCGAGAAAAATGCTGGCAAGGAATTCAAATTTGTGACATTTGGTCTCCGCGTTTACCTACTCTACCAACTCGGCCACCTCCGAAAGGGTTATTTATAAGATTTTTTTGTTAACAAGAGAGCTTGTCAATTATTTAGAATGTAATGTCATTCAAAATAAAATGCTTAAATTATTTATTCTTTCTCCGCACTGTTAAGATGATACTAAAATAATTTTTAGGTATCAATTTAAATTTCCTGAACTTGACATGATTAATGCACGTCATGAACAAGGATGAAGACACGTGAAGAGTTCTAACTAAGATTTACTAGAACAAACAAGCATTAGCGATCTTATACAAAGGAAATGTTGTTTGTGACGGTTAAAACACCAAGTGATATTGTCGTCAATCCAACCAGAGTTTGAAGAATGGATGAAAAAGAAACATCACATATAGCCAACAGATTTTTCTCCGATCGATCGACTGACCAGATCATCCGACGAGACGACCTGTACATCAGCAAAGAAGGAAATTTTTCCAAACAAAACTGTTGAAAATAAGTTCTAATAGAAACCATCTTATTACAACTATACAATTATACAAAGATGTCGTACATTTCTCAGGAAAAATGACTATAAAATACAATTCTCATCTGAACCAATATATAAGTTTCACTAATCAAAACAGTGGATCACAGAAATCCCTCCAAAGCAAAATTCACAGCAGGAGGCACAAGTTATAAAAAGTAAAAAACAAAAATTACACTAAGAAAAAAGAGAAATCAAGAAATTAGAAAAGCAAGTATTATATTTAACTGGATGTTGGAGTTCATTGCTATACATCCCAACCGTCCTTCCGCTTGCTAAACTCGGACTTTCGAGGTGTTAAACTCCCATAAATATCTGAAAACTTCCTCAGGCAATTGCTTCTGACCCCATAATGAGCTTGCGTATTCCTGCTAATTGCAACGCCAGAGAATTTTGATGTATCGATTGCCCACGCAGGTTTCACATACTCAACTACCGGCGAAGAACTTGCATTCGCATACAAGTAGTTCATTAGCACATCCTCACAATTAAAATAACTGTTGACTAAAGCCCTGCCCACCTCGACTTCCTTGCTCCAATACCTCTTGAAAGCAGCCCGACTGTCGACGAAAGCAGCCCCCGTCAATATCATGTTATAACCATTGTGTTTACGAGCGTGTTTTTCTCCTCTGTACTTCAAAGGGCTACCATTTATGAGCCGAGGATAAAACCCGACGATCCGATCTGGATGCTCACGCCATACCCTGAAGCCCCGTTCAATGTCATCGCATGTCATCATAATATCATCATCAAGCTCAAGGACAGCTCGAGTTTTTATAGATGAATCCATCTTAAATCGATTGTTCAGTGAATTCTGTTTTTCGACTCTTATCCTTACTGGCACTGCAGAGTCGAAATCGCCTGATTTTGGAGGTTTTCCTTTGTTCCACACGACAACAATCTCATGAACTGAGGAACACCTCGAATAATGCTTCACATACATTTTCAAGTTCCAAAGCCGAGCGTCATATGTCATTGCTAATAAAGTGAATTTCGAGTAGTGACCATTGAGTGGGTAAGGTTCTTGTGCACCACTACCACCGTATATATATGTAATGCTACCACAGGTTAACACGACAGCCACCAAAATTGTTAAAGCAAGGACGAACATTCCGGTGCAAGTGTTTGGTCTTATTCTGGCACGAAGAATCAAGCTCATTCTGTTCAACCGACTGCAAAGAAGTCTAAGCTTGGCAGACAGCAAACTTGACCTCTCCCAACCCAAGAAAGCATCGCTTCTCTTTCCCATGTCGTGAGGGCACCAGCTTACAGGTACTATGCACCTCACGGCCCCAACTAGCATGCCCACAAGTAAAACAAGCCCAGCAACAGCTACAACTGAAACAAACCCGAGAATAAAACGACGATTTGCATCTCCAGACGGCACTCTGTCCCCATCCAAAACTGCAATCCATTCACCAGAACTTAGCTGCTGTACATCAAGGTGATGGTTGCGGCTCCCGTTCCAAGCATTCCGTCCCTTACTCGATTCTTCAATACCCGAGGGAACTTCAACTTCTTTGAACTCGTCAGTGGTAAGAACTTCCACTCTGAAGACACGTACCCGCCGCCCGTAAGTCTCGCCACAGTCTTGACCAACGCGGTAAAGATTTCCATTATAAACAAATGGCCTGCCTCCATTCCGAGCTCCCATGCTCTTGTCTGTGTTATATATAGGGTTCTTCTTATGTGGTTTCCAAGGACCACGAGGCGAGCTACTATACCAGATTTCCAGCTGTCCATTTTTTTGGGTTCCAATACCACTGTGGTCTGACCCAAAGAGCCAGAATTTTCCCTCATGAGGAATGATAAAAGAATCAACCAGAGGCCTTTTCATTAGTATCTTATCCAGAGTCCATTTTAAAGGAAAGTCAATAGCTCGATAGAGACGAAGATCCCCTTTCTGACTGCCTTCAGGCATCATATATATCTGCAGAGAACCAAAAATTAAGAAAATGACAAGATTAGTGAGTCAATCAAGAAATTAAGCTATTGGGATTACATTACAGTCAACCAAAATGTACAACTAGTGTAGAATATTTTTAGATTCTGGAAATTTGGGTTTTATATGTTTCTTCACTGTTCAATGAATCGATATCTTACATTGCCATCATAATCAAAGACGTATGGATAAGATAGATGCCAGTCTTCATCGAGGGCAATACCCAACTGCTGCCACGTTGCTCCCTTATCAGTACTTCGGGAAACTCCAATATCACCTTGCATTGTAATTGAATTCTTTGTCTCATAGAAAAGGTAGAGGATATCTCCCTGAATCATGTTGTCAAACATCATATTTAAGTTTTACCAAGTCAAAGAGATACAACAAATGGGGACACCACTGGTCTAGTAAATTTAAAACACGTTTGAGCACACAATTTCAGTTTACATGAAATCATTACATACATATAGAAGATGGAGGCCAGCATACTACACCAGAATCACATTCAAGACAAGACAAAATATTAGTCATGTGTAAATATTCCCAACAAACATATTTCCAACTCCTTGTTCAAGAATTAGTCTTA